GTTCTGAAGAAAGGTGAGCTGGTTTCACTCTGTGGGTTTTGGCAGGGGTTGTGAGCAAAGCCGTGTGCATGGGGATGTGGGCGGAGGAGACGCTCTGTGTGCTTGTTTCCCAACAGCTGAGCACAGGACCCGTCCTAAGAGCATCTAGTGTGAGGTCTACTGGGTCTCCAGAAGTACTTGAGGGCCGGGGACCTAGCTCAGCGCCAGAGCACTTGTCTAACGCACTTCACAAGGGCAAGAGCCCTTTCAAAAGCCCAAACTAAGTACCGTCCCTCCACAGCTTAGAGCAGACTAGTGACTCCCTTCTAGAAGCTACTTCCTCATAGGAACCCGCAACGCCTAGCCACGTTATTGACTGCCCCTCAGTTTTCTACCCCTTAAATCCAGTTCAGAAATTCCTACCCGGGGCCCCTGCTACCGCCACCCTCTGTCTGCGATGTTCCTTCCCTTCAGCTTGGCCTGCCGACCTCATGCTGGCCTTCCCTATTTCCCTGTCCCAGAGCGTGCTCTTCTGCGAAGCCCTTGCTGACCACTGGAGTTTCGGCCATCCCCTGCCCCTCCCGCCTTGCTCTCAACCTCCCTGTGTGCCTGAACTTTCTGATCTCTTTATCCTCTGTCAACTCCAGGAGGCTAAGGTAAGGCTTGTTGATGGCTCCACCCCACAGTCCGCACTTCAGGAGTACGGGTAGGGAGCTGCTTTTAAATGAGAGAAGCCCGGAGCAGCCCAAAGAGTCCCCCCAGGCCTGGAGCTTGGCCCTCTCAGGCCAGCCAGGCTGGAGAAGACGGCACTATCCCACAGGAGGGAGCAGAGGGGCTCTCCCAGCCCTTGACAGGCCTGGAGTCCTAGGAGGTCTAGGGAGGGAGCACAAGCGTCTAGACTTGGCAGAGGGAGTGGCCCTGTGGGTCATGTCACCGGTTCCAAGAGTCTCTTATCAGTGCTAACCTGTGTCCTATTCCCTGGAGTATGTCATGTTCCTGACAGCGCACACAGGTCAAAGGTGGTACGGATGAACTCGGCTCACCCAGTGATCTCAGCTCTCTCCACAGTGATCCTGATGAGCTCACGGGCTGTCCTGTGGCAGAAGCCAGAAGGTTCTGAGTGGAAGAGAAACCAGAGAGAGACAAGCCTGTCCATCCCAACCCACCTTCCTGGCCCAGGAGGCCTCCAGTGGGAAGCTATAGGGAAAGGGGTTTAGCTTGAGCCAGAGTGATTCCAGATGGCTGAGAGTTCCAAGGAGGGATGGTCAGAGGCACCCCTCTGGTCCCCTCCTTTCTTCGACTGCAAGTGTTATCCACCATCTCCACTGAGGTCGCCTGATCCCAGACTCCACAAGGGGCTATGCCAGCTGGACACCTGCCCTGCCCCCTCCCCCCCAACATCCTCCATCAAACCAAAGCTGCGCATTTGGGTAGCCTTGGAAGTCCAAGGCTCTCTGTGTATCTGCACATGATGTCAGGGCTGGCCTTGCTTAACATTCCTAAGGAAATCTCTGAGGATCAAAGCCTTGACTTTGGTGACCCTTTCACGGAGGAAGTTGATAACTGTGCCCTGGGCCTGGCTTGTAAGCTGAGGTTCCCTAGTCACTTGAGCCAGACCTCTTGATTGTAACACCATGGCTGATGCTTCCTGTGTATATGTAACTAACCAGGCATGCGGCACGCGCACACACGCACACGCACACGCACACGCACACACACACACATACACACGCTCATTTGAATACGTGGGTACATGCGAGAAAAGTTTGCCTGCCTGATCCCTCTCAGCTTTCTCTGTCTGCTCTTGTTTCAGACACTACTTGTTGACAGATAAGGATGCACCAGGCACTACCCCAGGATTGTATTCCCCTAAAAGATGCATCCAACTCAATCCCCTGCTGTCAGTGAATCTGATCTTATTTTGAAATAGGGACTTGCAAATGTCAGAGCAAATAAATCCATCCTAGGTGAGACTGGTCTCACAAGAGGGAAATCTGGACACTGAAGGTAAAGAGAGCCACATGAAAAAAGGAGGCGGAGCATAGCGAGGTACTTATGTTCCTAGAGGCAATGTCTAGGTGGAGGTGGGAAGTGTGCCCCTCCTTGATGCCTAGCACACCATATTGCCTATAAATATAAAGCCTCCCCGGCTACTGTCCAGGCTCCTGGGGGCTACAAAGTTGAGAGAGAGGAGGCCCAGGGTCTAGACTTAATATCGTCTCAATAGGAGTCCCAACCCCATTGCCCTGCACCCACTGCACTCTGACCCCACCTTCCATACCGGCCTGAGGATGGGAGCTGCTGCCGCTGCCCAAAGCAGAGCCAGAACAATCTGGTCACATCTGTAGAAGCTTGGCACAGTTCCGCAGACCCTGAGCCAGGGAGGGTGGAGAGGAAGAAAGGGCAAGGCCACAGGCTGCTTGCTGTTGTGCTGATCTTTCTGCAAACTCACAGAGGTTGGCACGGACAGAAGTTTCTAGACTCCCTGTGCCCATGAGCATGACAGGGCACCAGCACACTTGCTAACATGGACAGACGGTGTAATGGTTTATGCTGACACTCCATCTGGTTCCCTCTCTCTTGCCATTTTTGCCTAGACAAACCTTGCTTTCAACTACTAGGACTGGAGCCCCGAGGTATGAGGCCTTTCTTTGTCCCAGGAGCCCCGAGGCCCTGTGTGGGGCAGAAGGGAAACGCCAGGCCCAACTGCGCCTGTTGGGGATGGGTGGACAAGTGGACGCCCTCACTCTTCAGGGACAGCCTTGGGCATTGGTGTGTGACATGCCCCAGGGGGCTTTTGAGTGACAGCGAGTGTTTGTCACTCAACATAGTAACAGAACTGTCACTGTCACTTCCCTTCCCTGCGTCACTTTCCCATACCGTCCTGGTGTTTCTACAGTCACTCTCCATACAAGTAAAACCCTCCTAATCTACTGGCTTTCAACCTTCCGAATGCTGCCACCCTTTAATACAGTTCCTCACGTTATGGTGACCCTCAAACATAGAATTTGTTTGTTTGTTTTTGTTTTTTCAAGATAGGGTTTCTTTTTTTTCTTTTTCTTTTTCTTTTTTTTTTGTTATGGTTTTTTGAGACAGGGTTTCTCTGTATAGCGCCTTTCCCGGAACTTACTCTGTAGCCTAGGCTGGCCTTGAACTCACAGAGATCTGCCTGCCTCTGCCTCCCGAGTGCTGGGATTAAAGGTGTGCGCCACCACTGCCCAGCTTAGAATTATTTTTGTTAGTACTTCATAACTGTAATTTTGCTACTGTTATCATAATGTACATTTTTTTTTTTTTTGAGATTGAGGTTTGTTGAAGTGGTCATGATCCATAGGTTGAGAACCACTGCTAATCCTTTCTCCAGGTCAGCCAGAAAAGCCCAGATTAAAATATACAGGCAGAGGTACATACAGAATCTCACACAGGTATACACGCACACACTGATCCAGACAGACACACAGGATCTCAGACGCAGCACAACCACATAGATGCACGGACTCACATACAGCTGCTGTTAAACAGGCACACGCACACAGATGCGCAGTCATAGGTACACAGGTGCAGTCATTCCCCAGAATACCCGTTAGCGTGTGCACATACAGACACACAAACGCACATTGTCAGCGGTGACACATACACATATAACTGCCCATATCCTTCCATCCATTCCATATGACGAAGAAAGGGCCTAAGTGAAGCAACAGACTCCTCCAGAATATTCAGGTCCTCAGCTAGAACCAGATGGGGCCCCAGGAACCCCAGAGGAGATGAAACTGGCCTGAGCAGCCTAGGCTCCGCATGTTCAGCGAGGAGGCATCCATAAAGGAAGGAGACATTTAAGACCAAGTTCAGGCTTGGGGTCAGGATTCCCCACACACTTCACATAGCATTTATCAGGGAGAGGGAATGCATAGAGCCGGGATGAGGGTGGGAAGGTGTGGCCTGTGAGGTCATCCCAGTTGGGTGGCGCAGTAGTGAGGGCAGAGAGATGGAAGACGCTGAGCAGGTGGACCATGGGGAGTCTGGCCTTATCCTGGCCGTGGGGACCCACAGATGGACCTCAATGGAGGGAACATGTGTGAACCCCAGGGAGGTGGACAAGTGTTTTCTCTCTCCTTCTCCAGGACCTGAGGACCAGCCACTTTCTCTCTGGAGCTCAATCTTTGCCTTGTACAACCTAGTGATTGGGTGACTCATGGATGAACCTGAATGGGACATAAAAAATGATCCTTCATAGAGAGGGTTTTGCCACCTGGGTGAGCTCTTGCTTCTTAGAGTGGGGCCAAGAGGTAACAGCCTCTGAGGAGTGAATTCACCCTGTAGGGTGAGTTTGTTTCTGCTTATCTCTGTGATTCTCCCCTTATCTTGCCCTCCCTGATGTTTCTTCTGCTCCCAGAAGCCTCTACTCTGCCACTGGAGTGCCTCCCTGCCCCATGATGAGTTGAACTCCAGTGAGAACACTCACCAAGTTCAGCCTGTTTGTGGCCCTTGCCCTGTCTGCCTTCCATTGTTCAACAGTCACCAGCCCGCCTGCTGAGGCAGGTACAGGGCCTGGGATGCACATGCTACTCTCTAAATGTGTGGAACCCTGTAACCAGGCTGAGGACATAGCAGCATTCCACAGTCAGCCATGGAACTGAATTGCTTGCTCCTGAGTGAATAGGAAGCCCCTCCCTGAGCCCAGGCTTCACGGGGGATGGTGGGAAGGATCTCCCAATGTCTGTGGATTCCAGGAGATGACTTGTTTATCACTGCCTGGGTGGCCAGCCTCTAGCAGCACAAGGCTCAAAGGGAAATCCACAGCACAGGCATGTACTAGACTTTTCTATCTGAGAGGGTTAGGGAAAAAGACACTCTTGATGCTTTCCTTCTTTACTCTCTATTTCTCTGTTCTTCTACTGTATACTTATCCTTACAACTTATATTCCCCAACAAAATCTTTTAGACAATACAGGAATCATAATGGGGTTACATTCTATTTTTCAAGTGGATGATTATATGAGTACAAGTAAAACCATGTTTTCATCTCCCTTACATGATTAAAAACAAAGTCACCCCAACAACTCACACACATTTAAATCTAAGTAATTTGTTACAGATTAACAGAACATGAGCAAGCAAAAAAGTATTTTTTTCCCAGCCAGCTCTTTTGTTGACAGGCTGCATATTGCGGTTACAAAGAAAGAATCAATCACTTTATTATTTATCTTGAAAGGTAATCTTTTTTTATTTTTATTTGCATTGGCATTGGTATTTTCCCTGCATGTATATCTGTGTGAGGGTGTTAGATCTTGGAGTTACAGACAGTTGTGAGCTGCCATGTGGAAGCTGGGACTTGAACTTAGGACCTCTAGAACAATCAGAGCTCTTAACCACCAGGCCATCTCTCCAGCCCCAAAAGGTAATCTTATAAGGAATCTTAAAGGAATCACAATTTTTATACAAAAAACAATCAGTCAGCTGTACTTTAGATCTTTAAGGTGCATACTCATTCATCAATAGTTTCTTATATACAAAAAAACCAATCAGTCAGCTGTACTTCATCAACAGTTTCTTATATCAGGAGATGGAGGGCAGGAATGGGCACAAGGAATTAACCATCATCTTTGATCATCAACCAACCCTAGCAGGAAAGTACATCAGCTAGTAACAGTTGGGCTGCTTTGTATTTTTTACCTCAGCTATGTGTCCTTGTGAACTTTAGGTTTCCTGGGGTTTTTCATCTTAAAGTTATTATCAAAACATCTGATCTAACCTGAAGCTATTTTAAGGCTTTGTTTCAGCTAATGATGAAAACTGAAACCTGTGAACACATCTCCCAATATTAATGTTAAAAGAATTTAAGCTAGCTGGGCTACTAGGACTCAGTTGTTTTTCTTAATCATTAACCTAAGCAACAGTCTATACGGCTCCTTAATAGAAACTCATGTGTTCTAGCTGTGTGACACTTCCTTGTTTTATTTTTATTCATCAAAACTCTGTATAGGAGCTGGAAAGATGGCTCAGTAGTTAAGAGCATTGGCTATTCTTCCAAAGGACCCGGGTTCAACTTCCAGCACCCACATGGCAGATCACAACCGTCTGTAGCTCCAGT